TTGAAATATATTCTGTTGCATCCAATTCTCTTAGGAGGACAACTTTAAAGCCACATCAGCAGAGTTCTGCCAGACATTTAAGCAATACCCTTTGGTGTGCCAGTATTTTCAGAAGCACTGGGAAGGCATTGGCCACATGTGGTGTGACTACGGCCGTCGCTTCAGTCACGCTCGTTCTGAAACAAACAATGTGATTGAAAGGTATGATTTATTATTTTGACCTCATTCGATTGTATTGCTGAAAAAAAGATATTATGCTTTAATCCAAGAGGCTAAACTGAGTAGGTTCTTCATGTCATTGCCAGAACAGGTTTTAGGCAAATCCTTTAAATTCTAGCAGCGTTTTTTATGTTATCACAACAAAAAACAGAGTAGGTGGATTTGCCTAAATCAGCTAAACCGGCACAGAGCATTCCTTTATAAAAGACGTGTGCAATAGGTATTCCAATTTTTAAAAAAATAATACAGTCTTGATTAAAACTTTAAATTCCTTCAATTACAGTTACTAATCATTTCAAATAACTGTTTTTCAGATTTTTCCACCGCCTGAAATACCAGTTTTTATCTGGGTACAAGAATAGGCGTCTGGATGATCTGATTGAAGTGCTCCTAGGGAAGGCCGACGACTACTTCTCAGTCATAAAAACCCTGCAAGATGTGGGCCGCATGAAAAACAGGTTTGCTGACACCTTGTCTCAAGTTTCAGACTCTGCTTCAAGACTGATGGAAAGTGGTTGGGCTCTTAAAATTACAGTCAAGAACAGCCATGGAGTTAATGCATATCAAGTCCCATCTGAGTCAAGAGAAGACATAGTGTATGAAGTCTGCCCTGTTGAGTCCTACTGCAACTGTACATATGGCTTACGAGGACTTCTTTGCAAGCATCTAGTGTTACTTGCAAAATTAGCAGAGGTTGACAATGACATCTATCCAAACATGGAAACAGACATTTCTACCTTGGCAAGAATTGCAGTGAAAGAAAGGCATTACTTTGTACACTGTGAGGACTTGAAAGTGATAAAAATGCCAAGTTTGTTTGGAAATCTGTGTTTTTTTGCATCGGCTGAAACACTTCAGTGCACTTGTTGTACGTTCTCTCACTATAACACATGTGCTTGCTTGTAGCCATTTTAAACAAATGAAAAACTCTCTGAAAAGTCCTCTATCAACTTTGAATGACACTCCTGTAGTTGAAAGCACAGACAAAAAATGCACAGAAGATGCGGTTGGAAAACTAAACGCTGTTTTAGACACAGTTAAACAGTGGGCATTCATTCCAGAGGGTATTACTGCAATAATAGATGAACTGCATACAAATGTCTTAAAAACAAAACAAGTAGGCAAAAGTATATGCCAGTACGAAATAAAGACGACAGATAATGCACGCAAAATTAGGCCATTGTATTCTAGCAAGAAACGTTCGGCCAGCATCGACATTCCAACAGTCTGTGAAAATGAATGTGAACAGTCGATAACCACTGAAAGAGAGACATCCTCTGGAGAAAATGAAAACCTTTTGGAATACAAAACAAAAAAGAGAAGAGTTAAAGCTAAGTATATGCACAAGTAGACTTTTGTGTGACATTTCAAAGGGACTGCATCCATTACTTCTGTTTATTGAAACCTAAAGCTGAATAGCTGTCTTAACTTTCTGCCAAGGAACAGTTGAAAAGAAATTGTTTGCTCTCTCAAGCAGTTGTTATTTATGTGTGTTATTCATTACTTTGGCTTGGTTGCTGTTTTTGATACAAATTCATCTGTGCCCATTGTAATATTTTCATATGTTACTATTTTTATATTGCTATGCATTATAAATAAAGGATTACTTATTACTATTAAAGGTCTGCATTTGTAATTGTTGGTATTATTTATAAAATATGCGCTCTTAAGTTTTTTGCTCCATAAAACGATACCTGTCACTTTTTGGACATAGAGTATCAGCTGTTGAGAACCCCCGGCTCATACAAAATAGAAGTAAGAGGTTTCAACATCCAGCCTTTTTATGATTAAATACAAAGTGTAATAACAGAGTTATTGGGGTGTGATTTTGTCTTAAGTATAAGTTTAATAGTAATGAGTAAGAAAATATAGCCAGAATAATGGAATGAGACTAACACCTGACCTCACACTGAGATTTGGTATGAAGTGGCATGTTTGTGCTAATGCTGACATTGGGGCTCAGAGTTCCTCCGTGTGTATATATTTGTGAACGTTAACTTGGCTAATGTCCAAGGGTTTGACTGCTTTCCTGTTGGATTGTATCACAAAGAACAGGGATAAGAGCACCAGTGGCCGTGCACACCCTCATCTCTCTCCTTCACCCGATCATTAGTGTTGGAAACCGGCATTAGCTCAGAGTAGATTAGACTTCAGTATAGTGCAAGTGATTTGATTTTATGATTATTTGATTCAGTTTTTTCTGTGTTCAAGCTCAATTACTTTAATAAAATATGTTGAATTCAAACAAATAAATAAACAAATAAACTGTGGACATTACCCTTTTAAACCTTTCTGAAACAAGACAGGTAAAAACCAGTGTATAAAAGTTTACATAGGTATAAATAGCTCTAACACTTTACTCCAGCCTGGCGTCCACACATGTGGACATCACATTTTGGGTTATTTAGACCAAAATACTAAATCTTGATCAACAAGTGCCTGATATACAGTTACGAGGACATTATACTGCAACTGTTCTATCGAAATTTCAAATGAATGTCCTCATATGTGGCTCTCATTTTTCTCAGAAACAAAAATTAGGTAAAAAAACAAAACAAAAAAAAAACCTGGTAATTCTTTCTTTTTACATTCATCGGGTTCCAATCGGCCCAAATATCAAAGAGAAATTAAAAATGCATGCCATGGAAGATTTCGGGTCTTAGGGGGTTAAAATGACCAGACCCCTCCGGCCTGTTTTCCAGGCCACTAAATTAAACCCAGTCAATTACCAATTGCACAGAATAAAAACCTACGAGGTCCACTAATAGTCCAAAAGTCCAAATCTTTAATAGAAAAGACAGGCAGAACTCAAACAATAATCCAAACGAGGAGCATATACACACACTGGAAAGTAAATAATTATAAGTTATTAAATCAGACTAATTAAATACAGTAAAACTAATAAGGGAAGACGAACACACGGGAAATAAAAATAACAGTGTAAACATACCAAAACTCAAAATAAAACAGGAAAGCTACTACAAACCGAGTGTGACACAATTACATTCATATTGAAACATATGTGATAATTTTCTTTCTTTGTAGCATTTTTAAGATATGTGCTAGAACAGTCATTATGCTGTTTGGATTAGGAACCAATCATTTTTGCCAAATAGTTAACACAAACTTAGAACAACAATGAACAATTTTCAAGATTCTGATTTACAGAACAAACAAAAGTCACAAAAGGTTTCATTATTTAAGAGACAAGATCAAGTTTTTCCACACAGGAATGAAATGACAGAATCCAGTGCAGCGGGGCCAAAGGTGTGTGTCAGCAAACTGAAGGTTGAGGAATCAGTCAGCTCATGTTTAAGATTGTGTTGGATTTTGAGAAGAGTCTGTCTGTTATTAGAAAGTAAGATTAACAATGTTACACCAATAACCCAAATACGGGGAAATGACAAATAATACCAAAAAAGATACAACTTTCATATTGTTTTACTAACTTACTTTGTCATATCAGCACTTGAATGGTCGATGCCTTTACAGACCATGTCTGTTGTGACATCGCAGGCCAATCTTCCGGCAAACCCGAGGGCTAGCTCCCCAGCCTCCTCTTCACTCAGAACACTAAACACTGTTACTTTAGTTTTGGCCTTCTTAGGCCTGTCAAGAATCATTGCGGGCAGTTTGGCTTTACGACCCTAAAAAAGAAAAAGTGCAAACACCAAAAGAGCAGAGAGAGACACACACACACACGCGCACAAAGTTAAATGCTTTTGTTTACATGGTGTAATTGTGTATATGTTGCAGCAAAGGCACAATTTCCAGCCACATTGTCACTTCATTGATACGAGTAACCCGGATTTATTTCAGGTGACATCAAAATCACGAAATGTATACCTACCCCAATCAAACCTCTGAAAACATGAACTGACATGTTCTCTGCGTTGATTCTGCGCTTGATCTCGTCTTCTGTTATTGTGTAGGTTTTCTTTTTTGAGCTTGGTACAGATAAGCGACCATGCACTCTGTAAACTGTACTAGTTCCTTCTGAATCAGTTTGGAATTCTGTATCTGCATCGATCCTGTCAACATCATCAGCAGCAGCATTATCTGTACTCAGACTTGTGCCGTATACTTCTGCTTCTTTTTCGTTGTCTTCAGTCTGTGTACCTTCATCTCTTTCAGTCTGTGTACCTTCATCTCTGACTGTCAGTCTTCCTATCTCACTGTTACTTGTCGATTTGCTGCAGATGTTCTCTCCCTTAGGAACTTTTCCTTTGTCATTCGCTGCCTGATGCTTTCCCTGATGACATTCTTCACTGGCTACTTCTATTGCTCCTCCTGTATAGCCACCTACTATGGTGCACAACTCCTTTCCCTCTGCTGTGCTGCACTGTGCTGTTACATAAAGAAGAATGATATAAACAGCACTATATCAATTTAATTGTGAAGAGAAATCCCCACAATATGACACAGTTATGTCTAAAATAGTTTTGTGTAAAAAATGGATCTTGAAACGTCCACTTTAATTACACAGTCCTGGTGTGCAAAGGCAAAATTACGAAAACAAATTTCACTTTAAACATTTTTGGACATTGTTTAGTTATATTGTGACTTACTCTCACAGAAGATACAGATGCCACAAACAGACTTTGAACAACGCATGTGCTTGTATGCACCACATTTCTGGCACTGCACCTGTGAATTAAAAAAAAAGAAAGAAGAAGAAATAAACAAACAAAAAACAAATGAACAAAGTCCATTATATAAACAATCTATATGGCTAAGGACATGTCATAGTGTACCCCGGTCCTTTGGCTGCAATCACACACCCAGCACTGACTGCACTTCCTAGTTCGATCTGCAAAAATATAATTTGTTTAAGTACAAGTTTACATTTTCCAAATGTTAGAGAAAAAGAAGGCAGCTAATTGTATCTTTTAACCTATTGAGGGAAAATAAGTAGTGGCAAAAGTCGGGGACCTGAGCTTTGTGATTTCAGTGTTGTACTCCTCCACTTGTGTTTTACCGTCAATGAGAGATTGGGCAAACTAATAATTGACGAAGAAGAAAAAAAGAACAAAAAAAAGAACAAAAAAAAAGAAAAAAAAGAATTAGATTAACAAAGAAATGTGTTTGTTTTTAACCCCCCCCCCCCCCCCCCCCCCCCCCCCCCCCCCCCCCCCCCCCCCCCCCCCCCCCCCGAGGAGAAAAAAAAAACAAACAAAAAAAACAAAAAAAAAACAAAACAGAGCAACCAAAGCAAAGCATTGCTGCTGAAATGGTTCAATCTACAAAAAAAATTGAGATTTTACCATCCTGCCTCTAAGGCTTTAAAAACTGAATAGGCAAAAATGTAAACATTACTTATATAGGTTAAAGCTATAGTTTTCAGTACCATTATGACATGCACTCCACATGAGTTCCCATCCTGTTGATGTGGGTGGCTCACATGTGACAAGGTCCACTCTCCAGCGCAGCCTCTTGCTGAAGCAAATGAGCTGAGAGATCGCAGTTATTACAAATAAAAAGCATATAGAGAAATCAATAACCACGTTCGGTAATGATTTCAATTAAATTAAATATGTTATGTTAAATATGTTAATTAATTACCTCCAGTTTTTCAACACCGCACTTTTTCTGACCTCCGACTCGCCAAATGAATTCATATAGACTATGGTCCTCTTGGGTATGTCACAAAACTGTTTTGTAAAAAGATGGATATGGTAGGCTTGGGCCTTGAGCTTTCCTAATGAGGGACACTGAAAAGTATCATGCACTAGAGAGAGTGCAAAATCTGTGCAACTTACAAACAAGGTCCAGTGGCTGCCGTTTTCCCAGACAGGCTCCAATCAATTTCTCATACATCTGAAAGATGTTTTTCTGGAAATAAAAAGAATGTGACAAGTATGTTTTTCTGTCAAGAATGACACTGCAAAACTGCGAAAGCTTGTCAGGTGAGACTTGTAATTAATTCTGCAGATACACAAACATATAGAAAGTGTCATTTTTTGTTTACATTAATTAATTTCTATAGTGTGTACAAAACAAATCAAGACCACAGACTCAACACGCACCACTCAATTTTTGGTGTTCTTTATCAGTTGGCCAAGACAGAAATGTTTTAATCTGTGTGCATTGCTTTTGAACAAGTCTTTACACAGAAAAGGTTTCAGAAAGGTATTTTTCAGGTTCTTCTGACAAGGCTTCAATTTTGGAAAATGCTGTTTGTTTATAGTGGCAACTTATAAACCCTTTGTGATAAGAACATAGTTACCACAGTCCAAGTCATACCTTCAAAAAGTATGCACTTTGTGCTCTTGTGGACCCATCCAAAATTTTTCCAGTGATTTGGCTTGGTATTGGATAAATGTGAGGGAAATTCTATAAAAATAACATAAATACACCTATGTTTTCAAATACATTACAAAAAACGTAAACATGCTATGTCATTATGATCAAACAAGCTTTTCAACATACCTCACACTGCAAATAGATTAGGCCATCTATTACCTTATAAAACAAATAAATAAATACATATAAATAAAAACAGAACTAAGGAATACGATTCATTAAGTAAATTGTACAATAAAGTGTATTTAAAGCAGAATTTAACATTAGTTTTATGACAACATAAAAGGATTTTTATGTCAAGAGGTACCTCATCTGAAATGTTAGTCTGGTCAAACAGGGATTTCAAACTTGAAATACCAATAGAGTTTGGTCCAGCTACTCCCACAAGGTAATCTGTGAGAAAGCATATGCTGTAGTCAACAGATATCATTTTCTTTTTGCATGCTGCAACCATCATCCATTTCAGTCTTCTAGGAGCTTTGTCTGGTTGTAGTTCTTTTTTCTCCTCCTCTCCCCTCATCTATTAATTAAATTGTTTTCTGACCTTCCTAACTGTTTCCGACCTGTCTTCCCAATGTGATGTTTAAGCAATATATGTATGGTCAGAATCACATTGCATGTGATAATAAAAGGCTTGATTGGTTGATTATTCAACATGAGTTGACATTTACCTGACATTGTGAAGGAGTCACAGTTTCTGTAAGGGTGTAAGAACATAACATGTGGATTTGTTACACTTCTTTTTCACAAGTTAATAACAATCAATAATTTTCATTCCATTATTAACAAGCTATCACACGATGTCCCAGGGACAACATCTAAGGTGATTGGTCACTTGCAATGTTGAACCTGGAACAACATTAATTATGATGATGTGGGAACAATGCTGACACGAGGAAATCAGATCGTCCGTAATGGACTAATCACTTGATTCAGGTGTGTTGACCCAGGACACCGGCCCTTGAGGCCTGGAATTAGCGCCTGTTCTACACGAACTCAATGATTGAAGTCAAAGAGGGTCCACTGTGATTTTTATTTTGTCATGTACTTTTTCAATGGTTGATCCTCACATTAAAGTTTCCTTTTTTTAAATAAAGTTTGTGTGCATAGGGTACACATCAACTTCAAAATGCTCAGCTTAAGACATTTTTTTCTCCTTATAGCTTCTTTATGAGCAGAGAAAAACCAACCCACCTGACCTCCGTCTTTTATGATGCAGTCCGTCAGAAGAAAGATGTCTAAAGGCCCAAGTCTGGATTCAGGTGATGGATGAACTGAGGGACTACTCCAAAGTTCATCGTTACATAAATAAGCATTATTTTTAGACTGAATCACGCAAAGTTTTTTATATAAAAAAAAAAAAGTCCAGGAATAAAAATATAGAAAAGTGTGTATGAAGTCCTCTTTAATTAATCTGAAAAGAACCATACATATTTTCTACTTCATAAATTTGTGAGCTAAAGATGCATAATGGGGAGACTATAAAATTAAAAATGACAAACATTATTAGGCTCTGGAGAAATGAAAACAGTAGACAAGTATTTATTCCAAGAAAGTCACAAAAAGACATCTTATCAAAAAGTGTTTAATTGAACTTAACTGACAGCTTTCTAAGGAAGTCTTCATTGGGGACAAGAACAAATGGACAACATACAAACAACAGAAGAAGAGCAAATTCTGCTGATCATAGCGACTATACAGTGAAATCTTTGAGCCTGATTTACAGCAGTGCTCTGAAAGAAGGGGCAGAGAGAAAAATGAGGTGGTTAAAGACCAAATGATGTTTTGCCTGATCAGATGGAAAAGATGGGTTAGGAGAATGACCATTCCTCCTTCACCTCCTCCTTTGCTCCATTTATTCTGAAGTGATGGTGAGGGTGAATGACAGCAGGGTGGAGGAGAATGGAGACTGATGGAGAGGAGAGTGACAGGTCCATCTGTCACTCAGCCACTTTCTGGTTTTCTTGGTCTCTCGTTCATTTTCTCCCTTTCTGGTCAGCATGGAGACAAATGAAGGGATGAAAGATGGGAAGTGGTCATCGCTACTCCATGGCTTCCTGATTCTCTTGGTCTGCGCTGATCTCCTCGCTGGCCTCTTTGCCCTCCTTGCTCCTCTTGCTCTTCTTGTGTTTGTGCCGTCTGTGGCTGTCCCCCTCCTCACTGTCGTGCCTCCTCCTGCTACTGCTGCTAATGAAAGGTGAAGAGAACAGGAGAGAGAAAAAAATGATCGGAAGAGAAGGGCAGGTGTAAGGAGATGGGAAGGAAGAGGAGGTGAAAAAGAGACACGGACAAAAAAAGGTTGAGATCAATACAGATGAAAGGTGAGAAGAAGAGAAATAGAGAAGAGAGGGCAAAGACAACGGAGAATGAAGAGAGGAACCGTGGGTTAGACAGGGCGGAGAGGTGGAAAGAAAATAAAGTATTAAAAACCTTCATATTTTCAGGGTTTGTCAGTTGAGCAATTTTGTTCCTCTGATATTTCGATCCTCATATCACACATATGACATTTTTAATGACATCAGCAAATTGTCTGAAAATTCTTGGGGGGGATTGTTGTTGCTGTAAACTGTGACTTCAGTTTACAGCTGACTTTTTAATTGTTTAAAAACACTGAATCTCAACGTTTTAGAAGGACAGATCTCGATAAAACTAACACTTCGTGAGCTGCTACTGCTTTTAGTTTAAACTCTACTTTCATATGGAACAACTGAAAATTCGTAAAAGCTAAAATATTTCTGTTTAACTCACATGTTTACATTTCATTTCACAGCATAAGCTTAGCTCTAGAACACCAACGCTACGTGATTAAAAGTCCAATCATCTTGGAACCCTGTGTGTGTTGTCTACGCAATAACAGCCAATATTTTAGGGCTTCTGGTTTAGTTCAAGTTCAAGTTCAAGGTTCTTTATTTGTCACATGCATAGTTATACAAGTATAACACACAGTGAAATGTAGCCTGACACGCTCCTCGACATGTGCAAAAATTGGGGGGGGGTGTGTAGAGGAAGAACATTATATATATACAGACATATAGTGTATATACACTGGGTGAATGTGCAGTAGTAGCAGCAAGCAGGTGAATTCTGTACATTAATATGAATAGACATCTGACTTGTTGGTGTGTATCAGGACTAATACTTCCTGTTCCTCCCAGTGATCAGTGTTTAAGGATACAGATATTATTCATTAGTTCTAAAAATAAAAAATTGCAATAGAGTTTATTTAATGCAATCCCTTTTTTGCCTGCTCATATATGATTGCCCTGAACAGGAAACCACAGAACCTCCAGAATCAAAATTTGTTGTCTGCAGAAATGCATGAATATTTACATAAAGTATCCATTTATAGTATTCACAGGAGTTAAACTAAGCCCAATAAATAAAACAGAGAGCAACTTTCATCAGCGTTAACTATGTGACAGGCTTTCACTTTTAAAAGACCAGAAAACTAACCAAATAAATAAAATGTTCCAGTTTGGCAAATAAACTAGTTACACAACAGGGGTGAAAGAAAAACTCTGGGTTCATTTACCTGCGTGAGGATTTGTGGCGCCCCTCTTCTTTCTCTCTGTGCCGCCTCTCTCTGTGTCTTTCCTCTTTCTCCCGGCTTGCACGGTCACGGTGGCGTTCTGCGTAACCACGCTCTTGATAATCACGGTACCGATACCGCTCCTCGTCGCTGTAGAAGACGAAAAGGAAAGAAGAATTTACTTCATTTACATATAAAACAACTCAGTCTCTGTTTAAAGCAGCGTCTTAACATCGATTGTTCACTTTTCTTTTATTTTATTACTCTTAATTTGCTCGCGGTAACATTTGTGATGAGTTTGACGACCGCGTGACGACTATATGTATGATCACTGATACACCAATACCCACGAACAGCTGAAAAGAAACTGCTCAAATTATTTGTTTATCCCTTTCTGTGGCTTTACAGATGCCATTCAAATCCCCCAGCAGCCCATTCACTACTCTGTTTTTGTCCCGCTGGTGTACCTGGTGTAGCTCATAGCTGAAGGGCTGTGCTCCCTCTCTCGTTCCCGCTCATGTGTCCTCTCTCTGGGTCTTTCTCTGTCCTTGTCTCTTTTGTCATCTCGGCGGGAATAATAGTCCCAAGGTTTGGAGTTATCTATCATCGGAGGCCAAGGAGGAGGCACACCTCCAACCATGGGGGGAGGGTAAGCACCTGAAAACAAATAAGAGGGAAAGCTGGAGTTCATTTAAATAAAAATATGTAACGACAAATGGTGATGGTGCAAATGTATGCATCAAAATGCATTTTCGTAACGTTTGCCACATCTGTCACTGACAGCACCAGATTACATTGGTCTGTACCTTGAGGAAACGGATACGGAGGAACAGAGCGTCCATCATAACCTCCTGGATGGCTGCTTCGAAAACACACAGAAACGAAACATTACTTCAGTGTGTATGTGTGTGCGCGTGTTGTCCTTTTCACTGACGCAACGATTACTGTTCATATAGTCATATAGCATCCAATGGCATTGTTATGTTTCATTATATAGTCATCATACCTTTTCTCAAGTTTTAGAACTGAATGAAAACACATTAAAAAACATGAGGCTGTGTTTCCTTAGACATTAACCCAAGGTTGCACAGCTTGAATAACTATGTGTGTGTGTTTAAACTTTGCACCAAAAAAAGAAAAAAAAGAAAGAAAAAGGCCAAAACAAACCTTTTATATAATACCTATACAGTGTCACTGAATTGCAGGTCAGTGCCCCAGTGCACGTTTGGGGTAGTACAAAGAAGTAAATGGACTTAAAGTGTGTGCACAGGTGTAAAATGCAGCTGAAAACACTTGTGAATACATGTCTATATTTATGTTATGTCAAGTTGTTTTCAAGCTATACATTATGATGTTGCACTAGCTTTAAAAACATCCATATTTAAAGTGCTAGAGTTGAACTGCAACTGTGTGTATGTGTGTACAGACGCATTACCTGTCCATAGTGGGGATGATAGAAGGAGGAGGCCCACTAGTTGGTGGAGGAAAACTAGGAGGAGGGACAGTAATGGGCAACCCTACAAAGAAACAGAAGGAGTGAAGAGAGTAAACATGCTGAAAATATTGCATAACAATAATAATGATAATAATGATAATAACGATAAACAGTAAACTGAACTTACTGGGTGGGGGGATGAGTGGAGGTGCAGTACTGACGTTTGGTGGCGGAGGGAGAAATGGCGGTGGGGGAATGTTTGGAGGAAGTGGTCCGGGAGGGAAGAATGTGGGAATCTTAGCAGGAGCAGGTTCAGCCTCTGATGTCGAGTGCTCAGAGATCACCTGCACAACAACAGAGAGGTGAGGAGGAACACAGAGAGAGCAAACATCACACAGTTTTAATGTCTGTCGACATACTAAAAACAGCTGACTGATGCTATCAGAAGTTGAGTTTGCCATACTGTGTAACCACAAAGCCTTCTAAAATCCTGAGGCGTAACCCAGTGTACACCTCACTAGAAACATGTCAGGTGGACAAAGTGCCGAACTACTGTCAGTACTGTCGATTCCTCCCCTTTGCATTTCCAGTTACTTTTTCCCTGCTGTTTTTGAGTTCATCAGTGAGAGAATAACAATCACTGCTCAGTATAAGGAATACGATTCATAGAAGGACTCACAAATGTCAGCAAATTCCTAGAGGGAGATTGCTGAAACCATCCTAATGGATGTGAGGTAGGGCTGGGCGATATGACCCAAAATTCATATCTCGATATTTTTTAGCTGGATGGCGATATAAGATATATATCTCGATTTTTCTTTTTAAAG